ACTCCCGTAATGAATCGGTGTAAATTTAACATTCTCTCCCACGGTACTGTGGCGAAAGTACTGAGCTGCAGAATGCGATGACTGCACGCCTGTGTGGTAATGCGGACTGCATAGCCACTGTAGGCGACCTGTGGCACAACACTCGCGACCAGGTGACAGCTGCTGCTGAGGAGACTATCGGGCGCGCAGACTCTAAACGGCCTGATTGGTTTGATGACAACAATGCGATGATCGACGCATTGGTGTCGGAGAAGGCTGCAGCATTTGCTGCACATGTTGCCGATCCCAGTGACTTGAAAAAGAGTAGTCAGTTTCGGAAACCTCGACGGCGACTGACCCGAGAGCTCCGTCGCATTAAAAATGCATGGTGGACGGAGGAGGCGAAGCAGATGGAATGCTACGCCGAACGCCGTCAACCCAAGGAATTCTTTGACTCCTTGAAGGCGGTGTGTGGACCGAGGTTGGAGCCGCTGAGGACACTGATCGATGGTAGTTCAGGCGCTACCTGCACCCAGACTGCAGACATAATGCAGATCTGGCGGAGACACGTTGGCTGTCTCTTGAACAACCGTTCAGAGATCGACTGGCCTACATTGAACGGACTGAAGCGGCACGATGTAAAGTTGAGTCTGGCGGACACGCCGACACTGGATGAGACGCAGAGAGCACTTGCTCAGCTGCGAAACGGCAAGTGTGCCGGATCCAACGGGATCCCACCTGAAGTGTTGAAACACGGCGGACCCGCGTTGTTGACTGCGCTGCACTACTTGGTGCAACGCGTGTGGATTGAGGAGGAGGTGCCTACTGAGCTGAACGATGCTCTTGTGCTACCACTGTACAAGGGCAAAGGGAGCAAGCAATGTTGCACGAATTATCGTGGCATCAACTTGCTGAGTTGTGTGGGCAAGGTGATTGCCCGAATCCTGCTCAACCGCCTCGTCAGTCAGGTTGTGAAACCTAACGGGTGGAGGAGCAGTGTGGATTCCGTTCGGGTCGCAGCACTATAGATATGGTGTTTGCGGCTCGTCAGTTGCAAGAGAAGTGCAGAGAACGACACCAGCTATGGTACTCGCTTTTTGTTGATTTCACCACTGTATTTGATACGGTGAACCGCGAGGCATTGTGGCTGCTGTTGGGTAACTTTGGTTGCCTGCGTAAGTTTGTAGATTTAATTGAATGTCTGCACAGTGTTATGCGAGCGAGGGTGCAGCTGGGTGGAGAGACCTCGGATGACTTTGCAGTTGTCTCTGGTGTGAAGCAAGGCTGTGTCTTAGCTCCTGCCCTGTTTAATATATACCTTCATGCAATGTTATCTTGTGCTTTTGATGCCGCTTGTGCTTACGGTGTTCGTGCGGAGCACTGTATTGATGGTGGGTTGCTGAACATCCGCCGTTTCGGTGCGAGTAATCTAGTCTGTGAGACAACTATCCGTATGCTGCTGTTTGCTGACGACTGTGCGTTGTTTTCACATAGCGCTGATGAGTTGCAGCACATGACTAGTGCTCTGGCTTGGACAGCGGCCAACTTCGGACTCACCATCAATACAAGCGAAACTGTCTGTCTCATTCAGCCTTCACCGGAGGTGCAACCTTCAATATTGCCGCGAATCAGCATTATTGCTGAAGTATTGGAAACCACCTCCCGCTTCTGCTACCTTGGGAGTGTGTTGTCCACAGACCAGCAGCTACACATTGAACTGCGTATTCGCGTATGGAAGGCAGAGGCGGCTTCCGGGATGCTTGAGTACCAAGGGTAAAACAACCATGAGGTTACCAATGGCACGAAACTGATGGTGTACAAATCCATGGTGCTGTCCGTTCTTATATACGGCAGTGAAACGAGGACGATGTACCGGCGGGATGTGCGATATCTCGAGCGGTTCCATCCGCAGTGTTTGCGACGGATTTTGCCCATCGGTTGGGGCGATAGCGTTGCTGGCACTGAAGCGTTGCGACAAACTGGCATGTATGCAGTGGACTGCATACTTTTGCTGCAACACCTGAGGTGGCTCGGTCATGTGTGGCGCATGGATTCGACTCGGATACCGAAACAACTCTTATACGGTCAGCTGAGCATTGGGAAGCGGCACGTAGGGAAACCAAAGTTAGGTTACCAGGACATGATCAAAGTGAGCATCACACGTTCTAATCTTGATTGCAGGTCATGGGAATCGAAAGCGGTGGATCGGCGCGTATGGCGCGATCTTATCACGAAGGCGGTTGCTGAAGTACGGGAAAAAGACCTCATGCGTGCAGAAAAGAAGCGGCAAGTTCGGAAGCCGCAAGTACCGATGGATTGTAGTTCATCGACGTCGAGTGCATGGTGCTGTAGCACATGCGGTCGCGCGTGCCTGAGTCAAGCAGGCCCAGTAAGCCATGAGCGAGGCCACTCAGGACCACTACCGAAGCGACGACGGGTTCTGCAGCGAACGTAGGCAGAACCGGCGCAGCGTTTGTAGGTACGCTGCATTCGCTTTACGTAACGCGTGCTTGCATGCTAAGTCTCTATATTTCAGGCGGAGAGTTTTCAATTTTGCCTAAATGCTTTTCTTTCCCATGTAAATGCCTAGATATACTCTCTTCTATACCCTTGCACACGTCGCTTAAGCAACTTGTAGTTATTTCGATAACATTTTCGTGTTTGTAACATTTCCGTAAAATAAACCTTCTGACCTTGTGAACTTACCTCGTATTCTTTTGTAAAAGTATTCTTTTGTAAACAACTTATTTCATATGCTCACTAATTTAAGTTTTGTCACCGTTTGCTTGCGTGCTAAGTCTGTTTATTTCAGGTGGTGGGTTTTCAATTTTCTCCCAATGCTTTGCTTTCTCGTACAAAAGTCAGCCCGTACTTTCTAATATAAACTTGCACACGTCACTTAAGCCAATTCTAGTCCTTTCCGAAAACATTTTTGTGTTCGTGGCATTTCCGTAAAGTTTGCCTTCTGACCTGGTGAACTTATCTCGCATTCTTCTGCAAACAACTTACTTCAGATGCTCATTACTTTAAGCTATATGTCACCCTTTCCTAGTGAGCCATGAGCGAGGCCATCCGGGACCACTACAGAAGCGACGACGGGTCCTGCAGAGAAGGTAGACAGCACCGGCGCAGCGTTTGTAGGCACGCCGCATTCGACATACTAACCGCGTGCTTGCATGCTAAGTCTCTTTATTTCAGGTGGAGAGTTTTCAATTTTGCCTAAATGCTTTGCTTTCTCATATAAAGGTCTACCTGTACTCTATACCATTAACTTGCACACTTCGCTTAAGCCAATTGTAGTCGATTTCCATAGCATTTTGTGTTCGAGGTATTCCGAAAAGTATACTTTCTGACCTCGTGAACTTATCTAGGATTCGTTTGTAAACAACTTATTACATATGCTCATTAACTTAAGGTTTATGTCACCGTTTCCTTATGCATCAATCGAGTTATTTTCTTGTCTCTCCCTCTCTCTCTCAAGTGATTGGCTGTTGCTTGATATCCCCGGTGTGGCTGCGCTTGATGTGTATGTTGACAAGGTGCCTACCTGTCTATTACCCACTACCTCTTCCATACTGGCTCCAAGAGACAGTTGGTCGTTGCTGCAGGGGACGGGGTGCACGGTCCTAGTGGTCGTGCTAGCCTCGAAGAGACGTTCCATGCACTCAGTTTGGAGCGGACCACGGTCCAGCCACCGCCTTGTGTGCGTTTGATTCCAAAATACAGTGTGCTTGTGTTTGTCTGTGAAGGAGTGTGGGCCGGCTCCGTTGATGAAACGTGGTTCCCATCCGCATGCCTCCCGGTCTTATTCCTTCGGGTTTACACTGGACATGGGGTATGTGGTTGGAGCTGTGAGTGGTGCAGCGCAAGCCATCCATGGTCCCTCTGTAGGCGCAGGCGTCCTGTGGTTTGCCATAGTGACAGGCAAATCCGAAATCGGATGCCGCCAACCATATATATATATATATATATATATATATATATATATATATATATATATATATATATATATATATATATATGGGACTTTTGTCAAGGGACATACCTTTATGTATATACTTGGTTCATCTAATCTTGCTCATTGCTGTTACCATATTTGAGTATGGTGTCAATATTTATGTTTATATTTAATTCGAACCATATGCATATATGCATACTACCTGGGATATCTGATATTTACTGTTAACATGCACTTTCACAACACTGAGTATACCCCTATATTTATGCATTATATATCAGGCTATTTCTACACATCCTTCCGTTTCCACCGCTTTTGTGCAACAAGCCAAGAGAATGGATGGCACATTATTAATTTAAAACGAATGCGGCGTCACTAATTTGCAGTGCACAAATGTACCCACCTTGTGAGTTTAGATTATATTTGTCACTTTTCCAGCAGCTGCTTGATGCTGAGCATAATTTAGTTCAGTTTACTTATCATGCTGATTTTACGAGCTCCGCCATTTAATCGCAAATTTCACAATATATGGCTCCTCGAGGTCCCTCACCCATTAACATTCAGCATCTAACCATTTTCCTTTCACATGTTCCGCATGCTTTCCTTTGTTTCACGTTGTGCATTACCAGATTTCCCCGTGCAACAATTTTTATTTCCTAACGATTTATCACCAAGGAACAATTACAGCACACAATGGGAAGTAAGCCTGAATTATACATTTCCCATAACATTCAGCGCATTTGTATTCATAGGATACTTGAGGCAGGCTTAGTTTATTAGAGGATTAAGATATTTCACCGTTTAACAAGTCCTTTAAATACCAGTACTTCGCTGCAATTACTCTCCTTGGAGTCTTCGGAGTCTTGTTACCATGGTTACTGTAAACTAGTTTACTGCAAAGGGTATGTTATTATGCCTTATTATAAACATATACAGTGCAGTACTTTTCATTATTGAAAGCCCTGCAATCAGTTCCTAAAGCTCGCAATTGCCTATCGTTCCATTTCACGGCCTGTAACCAAACTCCCGCCATTGGTTAGCGCCCAGCTCCCTGGTAAAGCACGGACTATTTTGAACGCCGCGCCAAGAAACACTGGAGTTGATAAAACGTCAGAGCGCCGTGTACTCTAAGTCACCTACCGGTGAGAGAAGCAAGATGCTTTTCTTATTTCTGTATCGCCCATGCTACTTGTCTTATGCTGTCCTTGTGTTTGAGTCTTTGCAACTACAACTGTTTTGTTAGCGCTGTCTATGAAACACAACGCAAATGGAATTTTTTATGCTAGCTTGTACAGCTTGCCGGTTTATATCACGTTGACGGTCGTCATAGTGTAAATAATTAACTAAGTCCAGGATGCATTTGGAAGATAATGCACCAATGGAAAGCGAGCATAAGATGATCGGCAAACATATATTTGCTGATGTATCTGTACATTCTACATACTCCACTTTTTCGGGACATAACAGAGATAGTGAAAGTGTGTGTGATACCGGGATGCTCTCCTTATCTGCTCCTTGTTATCCATCATCAAGGCAAGAGCGCAGTATGTGCATAATGCTACCATTATTTCGGATCGATTCATCGCTTTGCGGCATCATGTGGTGTGGGAATCTTAGAAGAACCCCTATTATGGTTTTTTCAAGAAAAGCTATTGCGACAAAATTTGGTGCTGCTCAAAGACTTGGTCGGATTTTCAACATGTCCTTCAGATTTATTAAAGCAGAATGCAAACTTTTGCGTTGCATACTACATTCCCATGGATTCCAGGAGACAATTAACCATTGTGGGGAGTTTAATGTCCTTTGGTCTGGATGTCACCTTAGACCTTTTCAACTGAAGTTACTGAATGAATTTCACAAGGTTAATCATTTTCCAAAATCTTTTGAACTGACTCGTAAGGACCGGCTTGCAAAAAATGTTCAACAAATGCAGCGGTTGAAGGGGTTGTACTATTTTGACTTTATTCCGCAAAGTTATACAATACCTGATGAGTTCCGTGAACTATGTGCTGGGTATATTCATGATACGGGACCTTATATTGTAAAGCCTATTGCTTCCTCCAGAGGTCGTGGTATTTTTATTATATCTCATCCCGACGAGATACCCTTCGACGAACCTATGGTGGTGTCGAAATATGTTTCTAATCCATTCCTGATTGACGGTTTCAAGTTCGATGTTCGCATTTACGTCGCGGTGACTGCATATGATCCGCTTATTGTCTACATCTATGAAGAGGGTTTGGTTAGATTTGCAACAGTGCGCTATCAAACTGGAACTCGACACCTTGACATGCAGTGCATGCATCTTACAAACTACAGTGTGAACAAAAAGCATTTTGACTTCGTACAAAACCATGATGAAAACATAGAAGACTTTGGTAACAAATGGTCTTTAGGGGCATTACTTAGGTAAGTTTGTCATACTAAACAAAACGTATTATTCATTTTTAAGGACTCTTTATTTAAGGTGTAATAGAACCAAGTGTATCTTTGCTAAACTACACGAATTATGATGATTTTCATTTGCTATGAAGAATGGGTATACTTATGCTCGAGGTTACATGCGCTATCTTAGCACCATCGGTCACTCGAGCGCCCGATACCGGAAACTCATCGGGTGCTTGTAAACTATGTCCTTTTCTGTACAGATGCAATGAAAATATCAACACAAGATAAAAGAGTCGGGAGCGTGGCTACAACGAGTGACTGTACGGTTTGCGCACTAAAATCCTGATCGGTAAATTACTTGCTCTTTAGTGCACAATGTTATTGCTACGTCTTGTGTGTATTGCCTGAAGTGTGGAATTGTAATAAATGGTTATCAGTGCTAGTGGGGGGAGTTGATGTGGCTAGGTTATTAATGCAAAGAGCAACATCTAGAGAAAACTAGTCATTCGGAGGGGACCCACACAATTTTTATTGGATAGCGCCCGATGAGTGACCTATTTTACCATTCGGGCGCCCAGCGGGCGCTCATCCGCCACTCAATGTGCTCCAATCGGATACCCACCTTGTGCTCGTCGGACACTGGTGCCAATAGGGCGCCAGTGGAATTTCACATAATAATTTATTTACTTCTCAGCCTACAATTCTTCTAGGCCTAACGCTGTAACGCAGCGCTAAACCAATTATAAATTTCAGTTGTTATTGACAATCTGCACTGTCTCTGTTTGCATGTAGACGAATAGGATGCACCGTTGGTATCGTCTTTACCAAAACTGGTGCATTCTTGTATTTTACTAGCGTTTAGCTAAAAGCTGTCGCTTGGCAATGCAATTAAACAACTTTGACTAAACCTTTCGGCATTTGTTGTCATGGGTTAAACCCATGGTACGCTTTATAATTAGTAATTATTTATGCTGACTGTTTACACACAAATGTAAGTGTTGTAAAGGCAATACGGAAATTATATATATGTAGCAGAATACCAGGGAATAAAAACCATTCTCACTTCAAAATTCACAGTCCTCCAATTCATAGAAGCCTTGTCTACCTGCTTGCACTCTGCTCCTTGCTCAAGTACTCCAAAATTTGTTCAAATGGTAACACTAGCTACGTCCTCCTAAGCTACCCAAAAGCAGCCGCAGCAATTCACGTGTCATCATGTCAAATGGCTTGGCAAATTCGACGCATAACGATCGTAGCCTGTTTTCCTTGTACTATTTTTTCATTTCAAGTGGTGTGTACACTGTGTTATTGATGCTGCTCTGTGCTCTACTACATGAATGACAAGATGTTTGAACTAAACCTCATTATCATCGTCCGACGAATCGATCACAGGGTTGTCACGGCAAATGCCGATCCGTTCCTTGCCTGCTTTTCCGTCGGACGCTGGTAGTCCGAAGCATTTGTCGGACTAGAAGCCCTTTATCATTCGTCTACACATTTTTCACTAGACAAAAAGCTGCATGGATTTTTGATACTCCCTCCTACCTCAGTAATTCAAACGGAATGCAAGCAGTACCAGCAAACTAGAGATTCGCAGCTTAGCGAGCACTCGCAGCTATTCGCTTGGTTCTTGTTATCATCGTCATCATTACGCAGTAGCTGAATATGTAAACCATGGTTCAGCCAACTATGTTGCAATATAAAAGATACGGTATATAAAGAGCGACATGCGAAACAGTACAGAATACAACAGTTGCAAAACGCCAGTAATATAAGCCCAAGTTTCATATTATGCATGGTGTTTGAGCTCGTTATTGGTGGGGAAGCTAAGCAGGATGAGGAGGGACAAGGTAACACGACACGAACGCCATCTAGGTGAGCTTCTAGCCATGTCAACAAGTGTATCCAACCAAACGTGTTCATCGTCCTTGGGACCAAGCGTGGTATTTGGAAGACACAAACCAACGCCAAGTTCGAAGTAAGTTCCTCAATTCATTTTGACCAAGTCATCTCTTGGCTTCCCTTCCACTTCCTTCAACCAGACCCCGGTCGCGCACACAACGCACGTTGCGGGAGTCGGTGTGCCTCTATGCGCAACTTGTGGCCAAGCCATCAGAGTCTGGTGCGTAATACAATGTAGCTGAGCAGCCCGCACTCTATTCTTGCACCAGATACACGATGCCGAGTACGCTCATTGCTTGGCTGGTGTATTTCCACCAGATATCAGCCAAACTATAGAAACATCGATAGTTGAACGTACCTAGTCTCTTTATGTCCTAGATATGATGGGACGGCCATCGCGATGAGACTGGACCTTACCGTGGTGCGATGGTTTGTGTGCCTCAGTGATCCATTAAGCTATGCTGGGTGGTGCATTTTTGCACCTTCAGAGCCACTCATACCAGATTGATCAATGGTTAGAGGCCAGACAAACTCAGCCTTCTGGTCCTCCAGGTTGGGGGTTGGAATTAAGGTGGTTCCTTATCCCTTAAAACGGACACATTGTAACCCAATGCCAAACCCGCTGCCTTGTGGACAGGCTTTTGAACCAAAGGCTTTGATTGTGAAGCCTAATCGTTCACCTGTCTAGACCTGGGCAACCTGACAGTGTCCTGCCCACGCAATACTGTGGACCTTACGTCAAACAAATTCCTGATGCTCTGGCCACCACGGTGCCCTATCTGCTGTATCGAGCAGGGTGGATAGGGGTTTGGATGCTACTGCTCAAGCTCTCCCGTCTTCTTATTCCCCCGCTTACGCTTTTTCAACCTTATCGTCCCGTTCCAGCCTCACTTTTATCCCCCTGTTTTTAACTCCCCGATCCTGGGCCCTCCCCCACCTTGCTTCAGTAGTCGTTTGTCGTTTAGTTTCAACTCACATGTGAACTCGGAGCGTCATTCCTGCCCATTCCTGATCATGTCCAACCAAACGGCCAAGCCCAGTTCAGCTGCTCCCTTTTGGAGCCCTCGATCCCCCTTCAGATTTGCATGTCTCAATGTTCGCACATTACTAAAAATCGGCCAACAGGCGGCACTTACCCGAACAGTAGAGACCCTCTCGATCGATATCTGCTGCTTATCGGAGACCTGCCTGCAAGCCTCGAGCTCTGTGCACATTTTGTGATCCCCTTCGGGTGACACTAGCAGCACTTTCTCATTGCACCTGTCCGGTGATGATGCCGCTTCGAGCACCGGCCAAGGCAGTGTTGATATTGCCCTGGGTCCCCAGGCTGAAGCTGCTCTGGTTGACTGGATTCCAATCAGTAGCCGGATGTTCGCGGTCCGATTGGCCGGCTCGTTCAAAGCTTCGTAGTCGCGTGTGACTAACAGGTGTCTATTCGTTATCCCTGCCTATGCACCCACAAACTCTAGCGATGACTCGGTAAAAGACTACTTCTGTCGTCAACTGAACGAGCTCCTTAGCCACAGATGAAGCTCGGACACTGTAGTGCTGGCTGGAGATCTAAATGATCAAGCTGGGAGAATATCCACTGATGAGCTGCATCTAGGTGGCCAACATGGTGTAGGCTCCCGTAATGATGACGGTGAGCGGTTACTTCATTTGTGTGAGGATGCTCGCTTATTTCTTGCGAGCACTAATTTCCGACACAGCACCAGCCGCAGGATGAATTGGCGCCCACCAGCGTCGAACCAGCCTTGGACGCAAATCGATCACATTGCGATAAGTTACCGATGGAGAGGCTGCATCCAGAACTGTCCCTCGATTTGGAGCACATGTGTAGACACCGACCATGCACTTGTATGTGCTGACCTGCGGATGCGCTTTGGCCCACGATGACGGTGTGACCGCATTGACACCATCATCATCATCATTATACACGTCAGCTAGAGATGGGAAACACTTCAGCTACTGTGCCGCAATACATAAAGGAAAAGGAAAATAAATACAACATTTGCAAGCCAGCTGAGCTACCAGCAACGGATAGGCATCGTTTCGATAAGCTACCTACCGACTACTAGGTAAAAAGAAAAATTATTATGTTTTACGCTACGAAATGGGACCGTAGCTGGAGGGGAGGCTAAAAGGGATGGGGAGGGACAAAGAAACTCACAGCACGAACGCCACTGAAGTCGGCTCCTAGCCATATCAGCAAGTGTATCCAGCCAAACGTGTTCATGGTCTTTCGGAGCCGTGACTCTCCAACCGAGGCCAGCTCCGAAATGAGGTCCTTCGTTCCTCTGGACCAAGTCATCGCTTGGTCACCCCTCCTCTTCTTCCATTCGCGTCCCCGGTGAGCAAATAACGCACGTCTTGGAAGTCGGTGGGCTGGCATGCGCAACACGTGGCCGAGCCATCGGAGCCTGGTGCGTGAAATGACGCTGCTGAGCGGTTCAATTCCATTTCCTGTGCCGTAAACGAGGCGTCGAACACGCTCGTTATTCACGCGGTCTTCCCACTAGATGTGAGCCAAACTGCAAAGGCACCGATGGTCGAACGTAACTAGCCCCTTTATGTCCGCCGATCTTAAGGGCCACCAGTCAACTTGCGAAGCCTGGTGTTCTGAATGCCTATCGAAGTACGCTGTCATGCGAGTTGGATAAACGCCCACTGGATGCAATTGAAGCTCACTGGTCTCATATGCACCAGACCTTACTAGCAGCAGGAAAATCCTTATGTCGTATGTCTAATCACCAACATGGACATTGGATCTCTTCGCAGTCTCTGGAACTTATCGATGCTCACCGGTATATTCCGGCTGGAAGCGAACACAATGAAACTCGCAAAGAGCTCCGGGCAAAACTTCGTGCTAGCCTGAAGAGAAACCGCGAATCCTGGTGGTCTCATCGTGCATCAGAGACGGAAGTGGCCGCTGCCCTTGGTAACCATCGTAAGTTATTTTGCTTGATACTGGAATCGGGCAGCAGGAGACCTGGTGTTAGTGAAACAATTTATGACGAGAGTGGACAGCCTATCCACAATTTGTCAAAACGCTTGGCGCGTTGGGCTGAGCACTTTGAAAGGCAATTTAACTGGCCGGAATTGTTAGATTTCTCGCCGGC